AGCTCTGTCATGTTCAGTTACACACAGTGGGGCCAATTCATTCTGGGAGTATAATGCTCACCATGTAAAGAACTCTCGAAGAGGTAATTCAAATATTTTTGTATAAAGCATAAAATTGTCATGTATGTTCAGGTTTTCAGATTTTTTTTGCCCATCCTACACAGAGGTTGAAGAACTCCACGCACAATTATTCTTAAAGGAGAACTATGGGGTTAGGGCTTTTCCCCATAGTTACCCTCAGTCAGCGCTGGAGGATCAGAGCAGGGAGGGGGGAATCCAGCCCCTCCCCTGTCACGGCAGAGAGCCGTGACAGGATCGAGAAGTGAGCGAGCGCCGGTATGTGTTCGCTCACTTCCCGGTCTACTGAGCCGACCTGTGACAGTCTCATTGTCACAGGTCAGCTAGAACTATGAGGTGAGTGAAAAGCACTCACCTCATAGTTCTACTTTAATCCTTGCAGTGGGGCTACCCTTCAGCCTGTCTCCTCTTCCACTCCGGCGTCCTCACATCCAATGTACTGTATAGGACATGATGACTCACAGGACCTTAGACTGCTGGAGCAGAAGGGGGGTGAGGCTAAAGGGACCGGTCTAACAGCCAGTCAGTTCAGGTGACTATAACTTTTTTATTTTCGTGCCTAGATGAAAATGAAAACCTAACCCTTGCATTAAGGGACACATGATCAATAGTAAATTTGATGAGTTATACTGCTTCCTTTTGGAGGAATTGAACGCTGGCAAACAAAAAAGCTGGGTATAACCCCCTCCACTCCCACAATGCTTCAATCTTTTTCTGATAATGTCCTAAGAGAAAGAACATCTTTTCTCTATCGAGAAAAGTTTACACACTTTACTAGACACTTTGATTTTTTCTGAGAATTATTTTCTATTTCATTTAACACTTAATCTATTGCTGCTGAGCTCTTTATGCAGCTATCCAGATCAGCTAATCTTAGGCATAACCATGGAGGCTGTACCTAGACCCCATGGAATCAAAGATGCAGGACTTGCCTGGAATGTGTGCTCTGCATTATGGCGTTTTCCTGGATTTTGTCTCATGTCAGCTAGCCACAGAGTGCTCTCCAGATCTGGAGCTGTGGCATTACCCTCCAGTGTGGCCCTGTCTCTGACTCTTACCTGTTTACTAGCTTTGCCTTTAACACTTCCAGTAGCTACAGAGCAACCTACAACTAAAGAGCCAGTGTCTGGTACTCAAGTTTTTATTATGCAGTTACACTAACTCCAGCTGTGTGCATACTCTTCTCACTCTGTTTCCTGCCTTTTTTGGTACAGTTTGCAGTAGAGCCAGTGGCGGACCTAGGGAACAAAGGGCCCTGGTGCAAGATTATTTTTGCCCCCCCCAAAAAAACCCCACAAACCCCCCTAACCCATATCCCCTTGAGCAAACCACAAAAAAAAGTTGGAAAAATGGCATTGCTGTATAAAGTACTGCTGAGATTTGTAGTCCTCTATAGAGGGTGCCATTCTGCATTGCTGCAATGCAGAATGGGACCTGCTATGTAGAACTACAAATACCAGCTGTACTTTATACAGCAATGCCATCAATTGGGCTAATAAAAAAAAAAATGATTTTATTTATTAACTTACCTTCATCTCCTCTGGCTGTTTCCTGGTGGGGGAGGCTGCAGAAAACCACCCGTGTGTGTCCCCATCTCAGCGCGCCTGTGTACTCAGGCGGCTGTTTGCTGGGTCCTCACGGCCGAGGCCCAGGGCTGCCCCCTGCAGTGCCTGCAGGCTTTTTTTTTATTCTCGGCTCCCTCCACGGTTTTCGGCGGCCGACGGGCCCCCTCGTCTCTGCGTCGGGAGTGTCGGAAAGACCTGATACTCCTGGCGCAGAGATGAGGGGGCCCGTCG